ACACTTCTGGCTATCACTCACCCTCTCCTTTATATCTGTGACAACAGAACCCAGACTCTATTAGCTCTCTGGTCTTTCTGTAGACATTCTCCAGCTCTACTTCTTCTTAATGTCCTCCCAAAGTGGTCATACTTGACTATGTTCTTCCTGGCTCTGATTTTTATTCTCTTTTATGTCTCTTATCTCATCTTGCCTACTTCCAGTCAACAGTCTAACCTATACAGCAGTTTCTAACTCTAGGTCTTCTCACTCCATCCATTCCTTCTCTAATATTAGTTAGCATCACAACCATAATGTACAATGACTTCTTATTGTATGAGGGGCTTCAAAAAAGCTTATAGACAAATGCAATTAAAAGACAATGGAATTTTCCAAGACCTTGTTTTGAAATCCCCTCCTATCCCCTCATATGTAATTCTAAATACTTTAGCCTAATATTTAAGCACTTCTTTTTTGTTCCCAAGAGTGATCAGGACTAAGTAGTAATCTACTTGCAAGTTACATTGCATGCTGAAAGATACAGCAAGTTGGACTTGTATGCTTTGTGCCCAACCCTATTTTACTATACCTTAGTCCAACACACTGAGCCCTCCCATTTTGTTTAGCACTTTCTCTGGTTTTAATGCTTAACTTATCTTTCGTTGGGTCCTGATCCCTTTGGATATCCTGATTTACAGCTTCTCATCTGCCTCCTGATTCAGGCTATTAGCGCATGATCCCTTTTCTACACTCAGTAGTCTCAGTGGGATTTGGAACATAGGTTCTTATTATTGTCCATAAGAGTTAGATGGGAGAGTGTTAAGAATATAGGTTCTAGGACACACCCCATCCACTGCCATCTAGTTGATTCCAACTCAGAGTGACCCTAAAGGATAGGACAGAACCTGGTCTCTTAGGTTTCCAAAGCTGCAAATCTTTATGGGAGCGGATAGCCTCATTGTTCTCCCTCATTGTTGGTTTTGAACTATTGACGTTTCTGTTAACCCACAGTACCACTAGTACCTCCTTGCATTTCTGACAGTGCTGTCCAATAGAACTTTCTATGAAGATGGAAATGTTCTATACCATGTTGCTAATAAGGTTGTTGATGCTAAGTTGTTAGCTGCTGTCAAGTCAGTTCCAACTCATAGCGACCCTGTATAAGGTTTCTGAGAAGCAATTGGTTAGTTTGAATCATCAGCCTTGTAGTGAACAGCTCTGTGTTTATCCTACAGTGCCACACCAGGTCCAATAAGGTAGCTACTATTAGGCAATTGAAATATGTTTAGTGTAGAATTAAATTCTTAATTTTACTTCATTTTGATTAATTTTAATTTAAGGAGCTTTGGTAGTGTAGTGGTTACGAGTCAGGCTGCCAACCTCAAGGTCTGCAGTTCGAGACTACCAGCTGTTCTACTGGAGAAAGATGAGGCATTCTGCTCCTGTAAAGATTAACAGCCTCGGAAACCCTGTGCAGGGTCACTATGGGTCAGAACCTTCTCCACAGTACTTAACAACAACAACAACAACATGTGACTAATGGCTACCATATCAGACTTGTTAAACTATAGGTTTAACAAGCAACCCAGTTGATTCTAATGGACAATAGTGCTTAAGAATCACTTTAACAAGCATCCTAAGTGAACCTTAGGCTAATTTACTGACATATGGTAAGTAATCAACAGGTGTTAGTTGGAGGACTAGGTGAGCAAATGAATAAATTAACAAGGTTCAATTCTCCTTGAGATTAAAGAGTGTCTTTTCTGGGAAAAGAAAGAAAACGAAATTTTGAGAGAAATGTTCTAGATTAAGAGAGGTTGAAAAAAAAAAAAAAGTAACAATCAAATAAATTAACTTTAAAAGGATCCTTATTCCACCATCTAGGTGGAGCTGATGAAATGAAATGCAGATGGGTCTCTTGAGATACAATAGTGAATAATTGTTATCAGGACTGATTGTGAAGGTTGGAAATGTAAAGGTAGATGTTTTATAGCAAGGAAGGGAGTGATTAACTTTCCAGTCTAGGAGCGGAGGTCCCTAGGACCATCAACAGAGAAGAGTGGAGAGTGGGACCCTACCCAGAGAAGCAGTGATGCCTGAGATGGAGGCAGAGATGATGACATGGAGAGATGGAGCAGCTGGGGACTTTAGATCCAGAGAGGGAGAGCGACTGTGTGCTGAAAACTTGGGGGGTGGGAGGTGGAGTGTAGAGGGCAGGCTTGCAGGGTATACCCTTTGGTTGGTTGAGGGGATTGTAACCATGGCAATGAAACGATATACGATAGAATGAATGTAAAACTAATGTTCTCCCATGTAAACTATCATATAATTCACAATAAAACATTAAAAAAAAAAGGATCCTCATTCCAAAAGTAAAAAATTTTTAAACTCTCACCACCACTCCACCCCAACCCAGCCGCTATTAAGTCAGTTATGATGCATAGAGACCCTACATAGAGTTTCTAAGGCTGTGTGGCGCTGTGGGTTAATGTGTCAAGACTGCAAAGCTGCTTGAACTGCAAGGTCGGCAGTTCAAGCTCACCAGCTGCTCCTTGGAAACCCTATACAGGGTCGCTGTGAGTTGAAACTGACTTAATGGCACTTAACAACAACAAATATATATCATTATAGCACAAAATATTTGATTACACACGAGGATTAAAACTCCTTAATTTTTACCAACTAATTTAATTTTGAAAACAAAACTATATTTGGGCAAAGAAAAACATGTATGCAAACTAGATAGGTTCTATAGGTTGTCTACTGCAATATCTGATCTAGAGAATTTGTAGCATAATTTCAGCATTGTATTAGTTTGAGATGGGAGGGGGAAGTTAGTACCCAAAAGTCAGAAGATGGAGTGTTTAAAATATTTATTTTATTTTACTTTAGATTTGGTCAACTTATTGTGGGTGAATTTATCAACTTTGTTTTCTTTGAACATGTCAAATATACAGAAAAGGGAAAGGACTATAAACTATGAACACCCAAGAATACTCCGCCTAAATCAACCATCGTTAACCTTTTGCTACTTCTGTGCACTCTGTACACACACACACACACACACAATTTTTGGTTGAACCACTTAAAGGTAAGTTGTTGATAACATGACATTTCATTCCTAAGTATTTCAGCATGTGTGTCTTAAGAATTAAGGACATTTTTCGTTGTAACTATGGTGACATTATCTCACCTAAGAAAATTAAAAATATTTTCTAATACCATATAGCATGCTGTTTATATTCAAATTTCCCCTATTATCCCAAAAATGTCTTCTGTCATTTTTTAAGGAGCTCTGGTAGCACTGTAGGATAAGTGTTGGGCTGGTAACCACAAGTTTGTGATTCAAACCTACTAGCTGCTCTGCAGGAGAAAGATAAGTCTGTCTGTATTGTTTGAACTACTGACCTTGTGGTTAGTAGTTCTCCTACAGTGCCACAGCAGGATCCCATGTAAGATACAAACAAGTAAAGATCTCATCCTATGAGAGACAAGCACTGCTCTAAGAGTTTTATGTATATTAATTAATTTCATCCTCACAACAACACCATAAGATAGGTACCGGTAGGTATTATTCTCCTTATGTAGACGGGGAAACTGTTGCGTAAAGAGGTTAACTAACTTTTCCAGTGTGACAGGGTTGCCACTATATGCCACCACTTACAAAATTCTGCATTCACGGTTTCAATGGGAAAATCAGAATATGGGGCAACAGATTCCACACGGGACTAATTGAGCAGCACCAAGTAGCTGGACTGCCCTGGAATCAGGGCATCGTCCCTTCCGCTCACCAGAATCCCTGCTCAGCCAGTTTCTGGAGTCTTTGGAGTTTCCATTCCTGCTCCAGCCATAGTCCAGCTGAATACCTCGGTGTGAATGGCCTGTGGTGTAGTGGCTACTTTACAGACACCACCCCAGATCAAGATGGATATCAGGCTGGTCTGTAAGTGGACAGGAAACCCCAGTAGGACAAAGGCAAGCAGGACAGGTTGGGCCAGGTGTGAGAGGATTTTGAATGTCAGAGGAATTGTCAGCAGATAATGGAGAAAAGAAATGGAACAGAAGCTACAAGCCCCATGATAAGTAATATACCCCCTCAGAAGATATGGTGGGTCCATGGAAGAGCAAGGGTTTAAAACCTGATTCCAGCACACAGCTGTGGTGTGACCTTGGGCAAGTTAACTTCCCCAAGCTTTGCTGCACTACACTTTAATGTAAAATGGGCTGATGACATTTACCTCCAGGGAGGTGGAGGAAATTGACTGAGAGTATGTGAAGTCTCTGTTTCCTGTTCTTATAGATCACCACAAGCTTATTGTTGTGACTTGGGTGAAGACAGACAGAGCAAATTAGTTTTCCATTCAGCCATCTGCACGCCCATTTTCTTTCCTTGTTTACAATCCCCACAATCTAACATCAATGATCCCACTCCCTCCCTGTGATTCCCATTTCCAATCCTCCTTCCTTCCTAACCCTTTTAAACTTTGTCCTTAGGGAAATGCTGCCCTTTTGATCTCAAATGGTCAATTATTCTAAGGTACCTCCCCTTTCAAATATTGCTCCCCTTTCTTGCTGTGATTAAGTTCTGTTGAGTCAGTTCTGACCCATAGCAATCCTATATAGGGTTTCCGAGGAGCAGCTGGTGAGCTTGAACTGATGACTTTGTAGTTCAAACTGACTTAAAAGTCCAGCGCATTAACCCACCCTTTGCTGTTGTTGTTAAGTGCCATCAAGGCGTTTCTGACCCATAGTGATCCTGTATAGGGTTTCCGAGGAGTGACTGGTGTGCTTGAACCACCAAACTTGTGGTTCAAACTGACTTGGTTGTTCAGCACATTAATCCACAGCATTCCACCAGGACAGCAACCCACCCTTTATGGACCTATTATTTGGCTGAAAATTAAGCCATAGGGCTGAGTTCAGTTTCAGACCCCAAGGGTCACTAAGGGCTATAGTCTTGGAGGAGTACTTTCCTTACTGATCACTCATATTTCTACTTTCATATTTTCTTCTAGAGTTAAGAAGCAAAAAGAACCTGGGAAGCTATGGTAAGTAGCAAGTGCTTACTGAATTTTCGTCATTTAGAGCTGCAGGCAGACTTGTCCTTGTAGTCTGATGATACTGGATCTTTGCCCAACCAGACATGCTGGAACAGAATCAGGAAGAGGTTGAAACAGGTCAAAGCACTGTTGTTGTTGTTAAGAGCCATGGGGTCCGTTCCAACTCATAGTGAACCTGTATAGTGTTTCAGAGGCTTTAAATCTTCAGGGAGCAGAAAGCCTCATCTGTCTCCAGCCAAGCAGCTGACAGTCTCGAATTGCAGACCTTGTGGTTTGCAGTCCAGAGCTTATCGTATAGAGTCACCGTGCTCCCTGGTAGATACATTAGAAATGAGAATGATTTGTAAGTAAAGACTTTTAATCAAACTTTTTTTTTGGGGGGTGGGGTAGCAAAAGCCAACAATAATCTAAATGCCCAACAATTAATGTCTTCATTCAGCTAATATTGCCTAGTTACTACCATGGTCTAGGGCCCATGCCAGGTGCTGGGGAATACAGCTGGGAGCAAAACTCTCTCCTGCCAGCATGTCCTCTGGGTGGGGGGTAAGTTAAATGAAGGAGAGTATACCCATCTTCTGGAGTGTTCTGGAAGCTTACACTGCCATTATGAAGAAAGCTTGCTAATAATAATGATAATAATGATAATAAAATCAGTCTAGTCTCTGGTTATAATATTGTCAACATTGTAGTCCATTTTATTCAGCCTCCTCATCCCCCCACATTCTAAAGTACGGTTACTGCATAGATACAATCAATGACTGGAAAGTAGACTTGATAGTTGTTGTTTCTGGGTATGCAAGTATGAGTGAATTTTGCTTTCTTCTTACGATTTTCTGTTTTCCAAGGTTCCTACAATAAGCATGTACAAACAGGGAATAAGTCAATGAAAACACAGATACATGTAGAGTTACTCCTCCAGCACTTATTTGTTTTCTCTCTTTCCCATGCCCTTGGCATTTTCAGGGCAGGGCACGCCAGCCTCCATCTGGGCAACACAGGCACTGTGAGAGATGTTTCAACCGTCACTGCCACATTCCTGTGGAGCCCAACGTCTCCTGCCTAGTAATAACCTGCAATCTGCTCTGTGGTGCCACCTTCCACATGTGCAAAGAGGCAGAACATGAGCTCCTTTGTCCTCTACAGCAGGTTCCATGCCTCAACTCTGAATATGGCTGCCCACTCTCCATGGCCCGACACAAGCTGGCCAAACACCTGCAGGTGTGTCCTGCCAGTGTGGTCTGCTGCTCCATGGAGTGGAACCGCTGGCCCAATGTGGACTCTGAAACAACTCTTCACGAGAACATCATGAAAGAGACCCCCAGTGAGGAGTGTTTGGACACAGCCCTGGCCCTTCAGGACCAGAAGGTCCTTTTTGGATCCTTGAAAATGGTGGAACTTTTCCCGGAAACTAGAGAGGCTGCTGAAGAAGAAGCAACTGTGAATGGTGATGTCACTTGGGAAGAAATGGAAGGAGCAGTGGGTGGAGTGGCTGCCAGTTTGGTACCACACGACTCTCTGTCAGCAGGTAATGGAGAGATGACAGAGTTGAGTCGAGAAGAACGGGAGGTATTAGCCAAAACAAAAGAAGGAATGGACCTGGCCAAGTATGGCAAGTGGGAAAATATGTTCAGCAAAGAGCATGCAGCCTCTGCTTTAACAAATCCATCTGCCAGCTGTGAAAGCAAAAGCAGGAATGTTTCAGCGAAAGAAGAGATTTCCAGTGACAATAACCCAGTAGAAGGAGAGTGCACAGCCAAAGAGAAAGAACCACAGGAAAATGAGAATCAGCAGGACTTTCATGCATCTATGGAAACAACTGGACTTGCCCCTTGGCAGGATGGTGTTCTGGAAAGATTAAAAACAGCTGTGGATGCAAAGGATTATAATATGTATCTGGTACACAATGGGCGGATGCTTATTCACTTTGGTCAGATGCCTGCTTGTACACCTAAGGAGAAAGACTTTGTTTACGGCAACCTTGAGGCTCAGGAAGTTAAGACTGTTTACACCTTCAGAGTTCCTGTGAGCTACTGTGGAAAGCGGGCTCGAATTGGAGATGCCATGTTGACTTGTAGACCAAGTGAACACAAGGCAGTAGACACTTCAGATCTGGGAATCACTGTAGAGGAACTGCCCAAATCAGATCTCATCAAGACCACCCTTCAGTGTGCTTTGGAACGAGAGCTCAAAGGTCATGTCATCTCTGAATCCAGAAGCATTGATGGACTGTTCATGGATTTTGCCACACAGACCTACAACTTTGAGCCAGAACAATTTTCCTCTGGGACCGTGCTTGCTGATCTAACTGCTGCCAGTCCAGGGGGGCTTCATGTGGAGCTCCAAAGTGAGTGCGTGACCAGGCGACACAACAAGAGCAGCTCTGCCTTCACTTTCACTTGCAACAAGTTCTTCAGGAGAGATGAGTTCCCCCTACACTTCAAGAATGTCCACACCGACATTCAGTCTTGTCTCGATGGCTGGTTCCAGCATCGATGCCCCCTAGCCTACTTGGGATGTACATTTATTCAAAACCATTTCCGTCCCCCAGGGCAAAAGGCAAAAGTGATCTATAGTCAGGAGCTCAAAACCTTTGCCATCAAGCCAGAAGTTGCTCCAGAGCTGAGTGAGGAAACCAAGACCAGCTACCCCTCGAGCCATGACAGCAAAAGCCAGAATTGTCTAACCAGCTTGCCCCTGGAGGTTTTGCAGTACATTGCTGGCTTCTTGGACAGCATCAGCCTATCCCAGCTCTCCCAGGTGTCTGTGCTGATGAGGAATATCTGTGCCACTCTGTTACAAGAAAGAGGGATGGTTCTCCTGCAATGGAAGAAGAGATATTCCCATGGAGGCACCTCCTGGAAAGTCCACCGAGAGGCAAGTAAACAGGCATCTGTTTATTCATTTGTTCAGCAAATATTTATTAATGGCCAACTATGTGCCAGGCACTATCTTAGGCATTGGAATTGTTCCATTCCTGGGAATTAACATGGTTCCTGCTCCCAAGGAGACCTAGGAAAGATGGGTTTATAAACACATAAATGTATATGGTACCAGTTGCCTTTAAGTTGACTGCAATTTAAGGGAACTCCATGTATCAGAATAGAACTGTGCTTCATAGGGTTTTCAATGGTCAAGTTTTCAGATGTAAATTTTTGCAAGGCACCTTTGAAAGAACTCAAATCTCTAACCTTTCAGCTTGCAGCCAAGCTGTTTGCAACACCCTGTTTGTCTTTATAAATGTGTCCTGAATGTCTTCTGTTTACCCATGTGATCCATACTCTATCCTTCTCCAGCCTGCTCTGTTCCCTGATGGGCTACACCAAGAGGCTACCTTGCCTGCTGGGTTCCAGTTGGGTTAATCTAATGGGAGTGTGTCAACAAGAGATGGGAGGGAGGGAGAAGAATGAGGTTGGGGTATCTATTCCCTGGGTTTTGTCTTGCCATGACACTGGTGACTATCAGGTATCTCTCCATAAAACTACCTTCTTTGGATTCCAGTAACCCTCCCTTCTTGTTCCTTTTCAGGCCTAGAGCAGTAAAGCTTCCCATTGTTACTAACCCCGGTTCAGTGCTATTGCTTAGGGTTCCTACTCACACATTTATAAATCATTGCTTTTTAAAAACTTCTCTTCAAACTACCTAATTTGAATGTGTTCTCTGCTTCCTGCCAGGATCAGAGATGAAGGCATATTGAAAATCTAAGTGAATTTGATTCACTGCTCTCCTGTTGTTCAAATGATTATTTCTTTAAACTCCCCTGTATAAATCAAAGAATCTTCCTCTTCAGAGAACTCTTGCTCCTTATCCCCAGTTAGGCCAAACTACTTAGTAGTATTATAATTCCTATTAGCATATATAGAAGTGAGACTTCTAATTCACAATGTCCAAGGTGCCCTTGGGAATGCGGTGGCTCTGTAGGATAAGCACTGGACAGCAAACCCCAAGGTTGGCAGTTTGAGCCCACCCACTGCTCCACAGGAGAAAGGGAAGCTTTCTGCTCCCACAAATATTTACAGCCTTGGAAACCCTATACAGGGTTGCTATGAGTTGGAACCAACTTGATGGTACTTAACAATAAGGTGCCTTTAGCATCCTTTCTCATAGTGATTCCATTATCTCACTGTTTTATTGCTTTCCAATATATGGGTGTTTGCACACTAGCCTTGGAGAGTTATAGAGTTGTCCGTATCTATCTATATATTTGATTATGTCCTTGATTCTTTCTATTTTGTTTTGAGCAGTCTTCTTCAAAAAATAACTCTGGGAATTTCCCTCATGTATTCATGCCTGCATCCATGTGTTAAAAAGCACTGAGTGTCAACCAACCATTAGTTTTAGGGATAAAGATGAATGAGGCTAAGACCCTGTCTTCAGGATTCTTACAGTCTCACTCACTGCCACTGAGTGGATTCCAACTACTAGTCACTCTGTATGGTGTTTCTGAGACTGTGAATCTTTACCACAGAGGAAAGCCTCATCTTTCTCTGGTGGGTTTGAAATGCCGACCTTGTGGTTAGCAGTTCAGTGCTTACTCTATAGTGCCACAAAGAGTCCTTTCTTACAGTTTGTTGTTGTTTGTTAAGTGTTGTCAAGTCAATTCTGACTCTCAGCGACTCTGTATAGGGCTTTCAAGGAGCAGCTCGTGGATTTGAACCGTTGACCTTAAGGTTAACAATCCAGTGTTGATCCTACAATGCCACACCAGAACTCCAGTTCTTACAGTCGAAAACTGTCTACTATCTTTCTTTAGAAAATCAGAAGCAAATAGTTAAATTTATATTCTAGCAACACCATTATTTATTTTGCTTAAGTTTGTCCCCAGTTCAGTGATTGCTAATCATTCTTGGATATAATTTGGAGCAAACCAATTTCCTTGCAGTAGGGAAGAAAGATGATTTAGTTGGGGCTAACAGGTGAACCTAAAGGTCAGCGGTTCGAAACTACCAGCTGCTCTGCGGGAGAAAGATGAGGCTTTCTACTCCCGTAAGGATTTACACCCTCGGAAACCCTGTACAGGGTCGCTATGGGTCGGAACTGACTCGACGGCACACAACAACAACAACAACAGGTGCTTATATGAACATGACTTTTTTAAAGTAAAAAGAGAAATAGTTTCAACATCCCAGGCAATACCTTTCTGACATAGGAGTCAATTCCAACTCATAGCAACCCTGTATGGAGTTTCCAGGGAGTTGCTGGTGGGTTTGAACTGCCAGTCTTACATTTAGCCATCCAGTGCTTATCCTAGAGTGCCACATCAGTACTCCAATTGAGTACCAGGCTCCTAGAATTTTCCTATGGGTTTCCTGTTCTAGTGAGACTCCTATTAGCAATTAAAAACAAGAAAACTTGTTTTGATGACTAAAAAATCCAAAGATAATAGACTTAAGTAAGGATTGATCTCACAGCTCCAAAATGTTCTCCAAGGACTGTATTTCTTTCCATTTCTCACCTCTACATTCTCAATAGTGCCTCCATTCTAAAACAGAATTTTCCCTTGGTCCCTGTGGCTGCCAGCAGACTCAAGTTCAGAGGGGAAAAGGAGAATCTGCTTCTTGATAGCTCAAACAAAAAGTCTAGAGTCTCACTGGCATTGATTGTCCTCATTGGAGCCATGTGTCTCTATTGAAACCAATCACTGTTGCTGGGGGAGGAGGGACTGCATCAATATGCGGACTGAACTAAGCCAATCCTGGTGGTGGCTGGTGGTTCTGTGCTACTGAGTTCATTCTGACTCTTAGTGACCCTGTATTGGGTTTTCAAGGCTGTAAATCTTTACAAAGAGCCGAAAGTCTCATCTTTTACCCATGGAGCAACTGGTAGATTCAAACTACTGACCTTGCAATTAGCAGCCCAGTTTGTAATCCATCCTAGTCCACTCCTAAAAGTGCCCTGGTGGTGTAGCAAGTTAAGTGTCGGGCAAGGTTGGCAGTTCAAACCCACCAGTTGCTCTGCGGAAGAGAGACAAGGTTCTCTGCTCCTATAAATATTACAGTCTTGGAAACCCTATGATGCCATTTTACTCTATCTTAAAATGCTAACCACAGGTCAGTGGTTCAAACCCACCAGCTGCTCCTTGGAAACCGGGTCGCTGTGAGTGGGAACCAACTTACCAGTACTTGACAACACCAACACTAGGGTCATCATCAGTCAGAATTGACTTGAAGGCATTGCTTTTGGTTTGTTTGTTGTTTTTAGTCCACCACCAGACCTGGTATTAGTCATTCCCACACAAACTGCATGGCTGGCTGGAAACTAGTGACTGGATGCAAGGGAAGACATTGACAAATGTCTGAGGATGTTTCTGGAAGCTAAGAGCAGGTGCTATAGGATAAGCACTGGACTGCTAACTGCAAGGTTGAAAGTTCAAACCCACCAGCTATTTTTTGGGAGAAAGATGATGTTTTCTGCTCCTGCAAAGATTTAGGGTCGCTATGACTCTATGGTAGTGAGTTTGGTTTGGGTTTTGATTCAAATGAAGCCAGACTGAGGGTGCTGTTACACTTTTCACTTTTGCTCTTCTTTCTTTCCCAATAGATCTGGCAGTTCAGCAGCCTGTTCTCCAAAATCAAGAGCTGGGAGTTTAATGAAGTCACCTCCATGTCTGAGCATCTTAAGACCTGTCCTTTCAATGTGATAGAACACAAAACTGACCCTGTTCTTTTGACCAGCATGTGTGAGCCTCGGGAGCAGGCCCAAGAGAGCTTAGTCTCCACCTTTAGATCCAGACCACGTGGAAGAAAACCCTTCTAGAGACTCAGAGACCACAATTCTTGGCTTCTCCTTGGGGTTCCTGAAAGTAGAGCAGAGTGTAGCTTCAGGGCGCCCCTCTGTGAACTGTATAATGTGTGTCTCTGGGGGTATTAGAACTTGTAATGCCTTCCAAAACCAGAGTGGTTGTACAGGGTCTAAGGATTTCCTAAGCCATGGCTTGTAGAATTGCTGTCATGCTATATTCACCATTTTTTCTTTCCCTTTTGTTTTAGAAAATAAATCCATCTGAGGAGGAAATAGGTAACTTTGAGGCCACTTGAAAAACAAGAGACCAATGAACCAGTAGAGGCCGGTGTTTTTCCTTCACCAGCACAGAACTGTGCTTTTATAAAGGATTGTTTTGTCTTTGTTGTAAAGTACTTTCAAACCCATGGGGCAAGCAATTTGAGTATGAGGTCTGCAGTTCAGAGAGTTCTTTTACAGTGCACCCAAGGTGAGGGCACAGTTTGAAGGTGCTGTGTATCTGGGTCTGCCTACTAGCTAGGTTCAGAGCTGCTTTTGCATTTAAACCCAGTCCTCAGACAGCACAATGGAGAAGAACCACCTAACTGAGCACAGTGGCCTCAGAAGATACCACAGGTCAAAGGATAAGAGACAGAAGTAAAGTCACAGAGTTTGTTGTATAGAATCTTGGGAAAAGTCTTACCTACCATATTTATCCACAGTGGTTCCGATTTTATGTAGCTCTCAAAGAACTTAACCAACAAAAGAAAGAGTCTAGTTAATTTGGGTCAAAATGATTGGGATCTGCTGTATACAAAGTAGATCACACCTCCACTTAATCTCATGCTCTAGAAGGTATGAGAACAAGTCCTAGCACAGAAATATGTTCATTATCTAATTTTCATGTACCACTTGCTACTACTTGGTAACATAATTCTATTTTTTCTCCATTGTTTGGTTTATATTTCAAATTTGTATATCAGGTACCATTTTCTGAAAATACTACAAGAGCGTGACCTAAAGTTTTTATTATGGCTTATCCAGTGAAGGAGTCCTGGTGTGGTGCTGTAGGATAAGCACTCAATCTTAAGATCAGTTTGAACTACAAGGTGGCAGTTCAAACCCAGCAGCCGCTCCTTGGAAACCCTGTACAGGGTCACTATGAGTGAGAACCAATCTGACGGCACTTTACAACAACAACAATCCAGTGAAGAGGTGTGACTGGAAATAGCACTGAAGTCGAAGAGAAGGGGGAGCGTTCCCCTGGCATCTCCATGTGTTTTGAATCTGTTCCTTCCCTAACTGAAGGAGAGAGGCCCTGAAGTGCGCTCTGGGTTTTCTTGTTTTATTAGGAAAATTGACAGGGAAGCTACAGCCCAACTGAGATGGAAAGCAGGAGCTGTTGGTAACAGGATGAGAAGCAAGGGGCTTCATAAAGGAAGAAAGCAGAGAGTTTTCCCTCTACAGACTGTGTGGGTGGGTGAGTAGGTGGGGGTCGCACAGGGCTCACGACAGCAGTTGGGGAGAGCCCACATCTGCTCTGTGGGATGTGCACCCCCACTAGCTCATTCCTCTCACAGTTGATACTGAATTAACTAACATTCAATGCAATTTATGAGTTGCAGAAAGTCAAGGTCCTGCAAATATCTGCTGGAGCCCCTAAGTGGTGCAAAAGGTGAATGTAATTTGCTGCTGTCTGAAAGGTTGGAAGTTAAAGTTCACCCAGAAGCTCCTCAGAAGAAAGGCCTGGTAATCTTCTTCTGAAAATTCAGCCATTGAAAACCTTATGGAGCACAGTTCTACTCTGACACACACATGGGGTTGACATGATTCCGAATCGACTTGCCAACTGGTGGTTTCTGGTTCTACAGGTACATACATTTATGGTGAGAAGGCAGATGGAGCAGAAAGGATGCCTTTTAGAGAGACTGTGGATTAGACAGAAGATGATTTGCTTAGTGAGATGAAACTTTAGTGAGCAACACAAGCGAGGAGCATTATCTGATAAAGTCAGCTAGACACAATCTGGGATTAAGAAGCAGCTCATGGGAGAGGAAAAGAGACTGTGCTCTGGTAGCGTAGTGGTTACGAATCGGGCTGCGAACCTTAAGGTCAGCGGTTCGAAACTACCAGCCGCTCCGCGGGAGAAAGATGAGGCTTTCTACTCCCGTAAAGATTTACACCCTCGGAAACCCTGTACAGGGTCGCTATGGGTCGGACCCGACTCGATGGCACTTAACAACAACAACAACAACAACAACCCAAGAATAGGAAACTGACCTGGGGAGATGGTCTATGATCAGAACCCCTGATGAGTATCACCACACATAATATCAACACATAGTAGAGATCAGCCAAACACAGAGGAGGGTGAGGTTTGTAGAACTGAGGCAGAAGGGAGCTTGCTGCCTTAGTAACACAGGGATCTGGGGAGAAAGGTCCTGACATATAATGAAGGAACAGGCTAAAAATCAAGATGGAACTTGGAGAAAGCTGCTGTAAAAGCTTGATCTATGTGTGATGTTAAATCAAAATAAGGTTGTGTGTATCTATGGTGACTTGAAATCACAGTATCTCTATAAGCAGAAATAAAAGCTACTTTACACTCTGAAAGGCTAACTGGGTCAATCTTGGGTGTAAGGTAAACAGATAGAAATGAGACTCACCGGCACAGACATCATCACTGAAACCAAAGGAGCACCTCTCTGGAAGAAACGCCAAGGAAGGAGCCTGCTGCATGCAGGGCTCTAGGCACAGGGGCATCTCACCAGCCTTCTGAACTCCCAGAGCAGCTCTGGGTCACCGCTCCAAACCTAGTCCTTCTTTGGTCCTACTGCCCTCTCCATCTTTGAAAGCAGGACTCGACTTCAGATACTAGTTAAGACATAGACTTCTATGTCCTACTAACCAGAAATCTCCTATATTAATTTCTATTTTGGTTTTGTGTGGTGCTGTGGGTTAATGCGCCAGACTGCAAAGCCGTTTGAATTGCAAGGTTGGCGGTTCAAGCTCACCAGCTCCTCCTATAGGAAACCCTATACAGGGTCGCTATGGGTTGGAATCAACTCGATGGCACTTAACAACAGCAATAACACCCTTGCTGGGGCTGAGCCTCACAGCCTGGCACTGGGATATGCCCACCTTTCCTTCATCTTCTCTCTCCCTCACCCTCTACTTTACTTGATGATTAGCTTGTTGCCCAAATGTCCTCACCTGGTTCAGATCTGCCTAGGCCTGAGACCAGGCAGAGGTTCTATATACTTCCTCCATCCACTCACTTCCCTAGCCATTGATTTCAGGCATGCATTTAACTTTAAGGCAGTCTGTACTTTCTCTAGTGGAGGCCACTGTTTTTGCTCCAAATCATCTTAATAACTTACCTGAGCCTGGGTTCCTTTAGCTTTACTCTTTCCGGTTACCAATCCTCCCTTTTCTTACTTCCTATCCCCTAAGTTGTATTTTTTTCCTCTGAGGAGTCCTGGTGTGGCATTGTGGGTTAATGCGCCGGACTGCAAAGCCGTTTGAACTGCAAGATCAATGGTTTAAGCTCCCCAGCTGCTCCTCAGAAACCCTATTCAGGGTTGCTATGGGTCGGAACCGACTTGATGGCTCTTAACAACACAAACAACAAGTTGTATTTTTTCCTCTGAGGTCACAATGTCATAGAAGTCTGTCATGACTCCCAGGCCAGAGGTAGTGAGTCTCTCACAACTGCTAAAGCCAGCAGAGGTTGAACCACCTTAATGCAGATACTACCTGATTCCTATTGCCTCACTTACTATTCATTCTCCACCTGTTTTGATCTGGGTTTCAAGTACAGTCTAAGGAAAGGACCAGAGTCCTGGTGTGGCACTGTGGGTTAATGTGCCAGACTGCAAAGCCATTTGAACTGCAGGGTCACCAGCTGCTCCTTGGAAACCCTATACAGGGTTGCTCTGGGTTGGAACCGACTCAACAGCACTTAACAACAACAACAAGGAAAGGACCAGCTTTTGATCTTTCAGAGTGCAGGTGGATGGGCTAGCAGAGGGAAAATAATCAGAACTCTTGGGAGTTCAGGGCTACTGTAGGCTGCACAAAAAGTACTATTAACTTCAGCACAGGAATAAACCATAATTGCACTTTATTTCCAACTTTAGGATTTGCCAGAGAGAAGATTCAGAGATGATCTCTGCAAGAAAGGAAAGTGGGCAAACAGCACAACCTGGCAAAATAGGGAATCTAGGTATCTTCCCAGGTATGCAAACCAGAAATCCCAGTGAGGAGAGCAAAGTTTGAGATGGTTAGAAAGGGAGCATTTATGAGGGAGGAGGCGAGACCACAAGAGAAGTGTCCATGAGCAAGTTAGTCCACTCTCTGGCCTGAGGCTTATCCAGGATAGAGTGGACACTGAGGGGAAGCAGAACCCTTTCATGAGGCTGAGTCTGCTCCAAGCCTTTAATGGAATTGGACGAGAAAGTCTGCCCAGAACTTCAAGCATCTCATGACATCTTGTTAGGTACTTAAAGCAGAAATGGGGAAGGTATGGAGGCAAAGCCACTTTGGACACAGGGAGTCAAAGTGTAAGAAATACTGAGCGCCAATCACTCCAGGAGCTTGACATAATTTGCAGGGAAGAGTCCAAAGTCACCATGGCAGCGTCCCTGCCACCAGCCCTCATCCACTTTCTCAATGTCCGTGATGATGTCATCTGGATAAAAGGAAATCTCATCACTTCCCTCTGCGGACAAAGTTGAGGGAATTTTAGTGTAGTCAGACGAGAATACCTCCAGGCCCAGGTCCACCCTAAACCACAGGGAAGGGAATAGGCCTGGTCCTTTCTATGACCCTCAGGGTTCATATCCCCATCCCTTTTGGCCCCAGGCCCCTTGTGCAGCTCCAACCTACCTCCTTGGTAATCATACAAGGCTACAGCTGAGATCCCAGTAGCCCCAGCCGAGTGACCTGACGATCCTGCATAATGAGAAGTTTAGACATGGTCTCTCCAAAATGAAGATGGCAAACAGAGACAGATTTGGTTGGATAATAAGATCATTCCTCACCCCTTTCCTTTCTTCCCCCCACAGGAGCTGTTTGTGGCCCCAGCGCTCACCAGAAAGGGCAGTGGACACAGGGGGAGTCTCGGGCTCAAGAACATCCTCATAGTCCCCTTCAGCATCAGCAGCCTGCTCATGCCTGTGCATGGCATCCGGGTCCTCATAGTCCTGCTCTGCATCTTTGTCCTGCTCATGCGTGCCCATGTTCTCAACATCCTCATAGTCATTCTCAGGTTCGGGCTCTGGCTCTGGCTCCGGGTCAGGCATTGGTTCTGCTTCATAGATGGGCTCATCCTCTAGCTGGAGGCCTTCCAGAGTCCTGGGGGGCAGAGCTGGGGGCTCCTCATTGTCCTCAGGGACAAGGTAAAGCAGAGTTACTTACCCCCACTAGGAGCCATCTCTAAAAGCCTCTCAATGGAGAACTGCTAAGACCTCCCTCGCTTCACCACCCTGCCGCTTCTACTTGTCACCTTGCCTCCACCTAACAGCCTCTTAGAAGCATTCTACTTCATTCTGTCTCTTCCAATGTCCACTCAAAACATCTACCAATTGATGATATAAAGAAGTAAAAGGTGTGAGGGGAGAGAAATGGAAAGCAAGTCATATGCCTTGTAAATTCAGGAAAAGATTCAAGCAAGAAGACATTGTGAGGAGTATCCAGCTAGGGTAACCACTTATCCCAGTTTGCTACAGGCTGAGAAGTTGCCGATCACAACAGCTCTTCTGCGCCTGGGTCAGACAGTCCCAGGCAAACCAGGCTGGTTGGTTACTGTACATAGCCACTGTATATGAAATGAAGGCAAAGAGCCTTTGAGGGTATGCTTACCTCCTGGGGATTCTGTCTTAGGGGTAGAGAGGGCACTGGGAGGTCTCTGTTGGCTCTCACAGTCTTAGGCTCTGAAGATGGGCAACTTCCTGCTGGAGGCCAGGCCTGTGGAGAAGGAATCATTTCTCTAGTAAGCAAGCTTCCACTGTTTCTCTTATGCTCTTTTCTTACCTGTACCACTTACTCCCACTCTCTGCCAATCCACATCCACCTCACTCCTTAAGATGGGCTTCAACCTGATGTGGTGGCTCCTGCTTCAGGAACTGAAGCAATGCTGGCTGTCTCCCAACACGCTAAGACTATCTCCTTTGTTTGTTTCTAACCTTCTGGTGTACGAGCCCCAATTGCTCAGATAGACTGAAATCTCCCTGAAGATAAGGAGAGCAGTGGCTGATTCTGCCTAACACAGGGGGTGATGCTTTCGTTGCCTTGGGTTCTGCCATCCATTTAGACTCCATAGAGTAGACTCCTGAGTGTAGATCCTGGGAATTTGAGCATTCACCTCTGAAGAGATTTTCCTAGTTGGTGGTGCTGGCATGGCTGGCTCCTCTGCAGTGACTGCATGGCTCATCTTTACGACAGGTTTTCGCTCCTGTTGCTGCCTGGCCATCTGCTTGGCCTTCTGTTCTTCTTCCTGCTTCTTCTTCTCCTCAGCCATAGACTCAAACTTTGCCTTTAGCCCACGGGCACCACTTGAAGCTGCAGACACAGGCAAGAAGAGTTTGGATTGCCTTCGAATCAATTTGGGGGAACAGGGAGAGGCTTGAAGGAACAATAGGAATCAGAAAAATATTCAGGAGGAGAGAAGATAGCCGTAGGGGCTGCTGGGAGGAGGATAGATTGTTGTTGTTGTTGTTAAGTGCTGTTGAGTTAGTTCAGACCCATAGTGACCCTGTATAGGGTTTCTTAGGCTGTAAATCTTTATGGGAGCAGAAAGCCTCATGAAGAATTGCAGGAGATGGTGTAGCTCTGAAGCCTACATCTCTGTCTAGCCAGGACATACCAGACCTTTGTTCTTTCCAAATTATAAGCCTGCTCCCCTAACCAGAACCCTTTCCCATCCACATTCCTTAAGCCTATATCTGTCCTCTGGCTATCACGCTTTCCTGTACTCCCAATATAAAACTCCCATCCTTATCTATCTTTGTCAAGCAACTTCACACTACTCTGGTGAGTAGTGACTGGGGTCTTAAAAGTTTGTAAGCAGCCATCTAAGGTGCTATTATTGCTCTCTCCCTGTCTGGAGTAAAGAAGACTGAAGAAAATAAAAAGCGCAAGGTAACAATTAGTCCAAAGGACAAATGGACCACATGAACCCTAGCCTCAGTGACCCTGAGACCAGAAGAACTAGAAGATACCTGGCTACCACTGCCAAGTGCTCTAAGGGATCATAATAGGATGTCCTGGATAGAGTGGGAGAAAAACATGGAACAAAATGCAAAATCATAAAAAATGATCAGGCTTATTATTCTTATAGAGACTTGGAGAACCCCTGAGACTATGGCTTTTAGACATCTTTCAAACTTGGAACTGAATTCACCCCATGGCTCAATTTTCAGCCAAACAATAGACAGGACCATACAGTGAACAGTAACACCAGGGAGGTAGGCATTCCTTAGAACAATCAACCATATGAGATCAAAAGGGCAGCATTTTCTTGATGAAGCTCAGAAGGCAGGAAGGGATAGACAAGGAGGATTAATGGAAACAGTATGCACTAAACACAGGGAGGATGTGGGAAGAGTACTGTGACATTGTGGAGGTTGGACTCAATGTAACAAAACATTGTTTTTTTGGAAAACTAATTTTCTCTGTAAACTTCTACCCAAATCACAATAACAAATATATAAAAAGAGAAAAGATTCTAGCCAAGAAAGCCATATGGTGTAGTTCTACTCTGTAGCACATGGAGTTGCCATGAGTTGGAGACCAACTCAAAGGCAGCTAACAACAACTCTGTGTTCTCTGGCCCCACATCTCTTCTCAATGACACTCTCTCTGTTGTCTTACCCTGAGTTTTGCAGAAGAGAGAATCTGGGATATGAAGGTTGGGGTCAATTCTAACTCAGTTAATCTAGGTAGTAACAAGCATGGCAGAGATAGTCTGAGGAAGTGAAAGAATGGGAAAGGAGAGAAGTTTCAACTGTATATATAGAGGAGGACATTAAGACTCACCAGCCTCTACGGGTGTCGTTTTCTTATAAGCTGTGGTTGGGGCCTCCATTTCATTAAAGCCAACAGCACTCTGCAGGTAGAAGAACAGCATGTTGAGTGTGAGGAGGAAAAGGGAGAAGGTAGTGAGCCCAGCAGGAAATTCTGGGGACTTGGGCCATTGTAGGAGGTGTCTGATTTTCAATAGTTGAACAGGGTTTTGTAGTAGAGAGATGGGTGAAAAAAAAGTTCTAAACTGGTGGGCTTGGCTCCCCCTATTGCAAGTTCAGTGGTCCTAGAGTTCATACCTTCAAGTCTAATTGCCTGAAATGCAGCAAGGCTCTTGGGCAATGCATGAGGAAGAGCTGGTATAATGGAGGATGACGAGTAGGAAGTAAGATTGGGTTCAATAATGCCAGGCAATCCTTGAATATTCAAGTCTAACATCACCTTTCCCTGTCTCTCTGTCTGTCTCTCTGCCTCCCTCACTTTCTTCAGTTATAACTGAGGCCTCTGAAGACATGCTCATTAGTTGCAGAGAGCAGTCTCTGAGGGAGTGCTGGATGACAGGTCTCGGGGGCCTAGCACCGCTGATCCTTTTCCCAGCTTTGCTTCTTACTCTTCTGGGCCCTCTTTGATTGTAGATTCGGGGATTCTCCTCAACACATTGGTGTTCTAGTACTTTACCTTATCTACTCGGTCCTTCTGGATCCCATACTGTCCACCAAAGCCTTTGGCATAATCTGAAGAACAGAAAGTTCTGAGAGTCAGAACAGGAGATTAATCTAAATTAATTAAATTAAAATGCTGGGGGTAGGTGGGAAGAGGAAACAGTGGGAGGAAAGACCAGAAGATAAGAATGTGGAAAATTAAGAGATACATGAGAGATAATGTGAGAATCGAAATAGAGAGAGACACAGAAGGGAAGAGAAGAAAAAGGATGGGGACAGAAAAAGTGTAAGAGAGAAGGAGACAAGAAGAGGGGGACATAAAAGAGAAGTGAAAGGAAAAGGGAGAATTTGAACAAAGAAATAGGAAAACATATCATTATAAGGCAAGCCCCCAGCCACCTCGTGTGTCCAGGGAATACGTAGGCATCTTTGTCTTCTGTGAGACAAAGGGGCCTTGAAGACTTATCGCCTAGCCACCTTGGTGACCTCACCCAGCCTGTTTCTTCAATTACCCTTCTTCTTTGCCCTCCCTCCTCCACCTTGGTCCTAATCTTGCTGTTTTTGGTGTCCTCTACCCACACACTCTTTCTCTTCACACCTCCTCCATTGCACATCTATCTCCTCTGTTTTCTGGGACTCTAAGATCACTCTCTCTGTGGCCTCCCTCCTTCTAACCTCTACTCACCTCTTTGGGACTCATGTTTCTCTGTCTCTCCCTTGTAGTCATATCCTAGGGCTGCCTTGTCCTTTTTATCCGTCT